AAGCCAGGTCTTATTTGTCAAGAAAGTAACGGCTTCCCTTATGCACAGGCAACTTTCTAGGCCAGTTCAAGCTCCCCATGCTCTCCCCCAGGATCTTTCCTGTTGCTCTAACTCACAGGCTGCCCGAGCTCATCTACTCCTCCTCCCGCCCTTTCCTACTCCCACAAGCTGCTTAGGCTCTCCCTGCTGCCATTGCACAATCCCCACAACCCCAGGCTGGCAGTTTGAATCCCCAGATAAACTGTCTTTCTACTCACCCAGTGAGTGGTCTAGTTCTTGGTTTCATTGCATCCTTATTTATATCCTGCAGATAAAACGATACCTGGCAGAAGCCTGCAAAGATTCTGGAGGTCAAGGCCGTGATGGTCGGAAGTGTACACTAGGCTTCCTTATTTCTGGAAGTGCAGGCCAGTGTCTATGGTAAAAACCATGGATTTTGTGGGTTTCCTTAAGACACTGGGGAGAAGCCAGGCTGTGTTGGCACGTGTCTTTAATTCCAGCACTCAGGAGGCAGACACAGGTGGATCTCTGTGAGTTTGATGTCAGCCTGGTCTACAAGAGCTAGTTCCAGCACAGGCTCTAGAAGCTACAGAGAAATCCTTTCTCTAAAATAAAAAAAAAAAAACCAAACACACAAATAAACAAAAACAAAAACACACTAGGAGGAAGCTTTATTAGCTTTTCAAGTAAATGAAAGGCTGAATCTGGGATGCAGTTTTCCCCATTTTTTTTAAAAATTTTATTATTTATTTATTTATTAAAGATTTCTGTCTCTTCCCCCCAGCCGCCTCCCCTTTCCCTCCCCCTCCCCCAATCAAGTCCCCTCCCTCGTCAGTCCAAAGAGCAATCAGGGTTCCCTGCCCTGTGGGAAGTCCGAGTCTAGTAAGGTGAGCATCCAAACTGCCTAGGCTCCCACAAAACCAATAGGTGCAGTAGGATCAAAAACCTATTGCCATTGTTCTTGAGGTCTCAGTAGTCCTCATTGTCTGCTATGTTCAGCGAGACCTGTTTTAACCCAGGCTTTTTCAGACCCAGGCCAGCTGGCCTTGGTGAGTTCCCAGTTTTATAGTCTTGGGCAAGTCAGTAACTTATTCAAGAACCAGCCATCTCATTGTTTTCATTGGATACGGTGATCTGGCTCCACAAACTTGAGAATTTTCTGTGTACACAAAGCACCCTTGACTGTGAATGACAGTAGGGACAGCTATTAGCAAGTTCAATCTGTCGTCCACTGGAGAGCTAACGGAAACAGAAGGCACTTCTTGCAGACCACAATGAAGTGGGTGCAATGTGTGAAAAGACACACAGAAAACATTAGCAGTGAAATCCGTATGTGCTGGAACAAGTTAAGTTCGAAAACCATCCATCCCTTTCTCTTCACAAAGGATTTGGGATACAGTAGAAGGATGTGAGGTACAGTTCTAACAACCCCGGGGATTTATCTATGGAATGGTGATAGGCAATGTCTTTATTTGATTTTACATCTTACTGCACCCAGAATATACTGAACATAGCTGTGTTGCTTTGCTGCCAGAAATATTTGTGTTGCTAAACAAATTATCTCCAGTGGAAATCTGAATCCATTATCCTCTGTTTCTTCGGTCTCCAGGGGAAAACTGAGGGATGGAAGATGAGGGAGGCTTCATGTCTGTGATGTATGCACATTATAGCTGAACCACACCATGCCTTGAAATTCAGCCTTTCTTTGCATAGCAAAAGCTGCTCCTGAGAATTAGAATCACAAGGCCAGGAGTTTTACACTGGGAATTCCTGTCCCTCTTTCCTGGACTTTTTGCCTTCAGGCACCTGGATTCTTGCACAGCCTCTGCTTCTGGTGAATGTCTCCCTCTAAGATCTGTATGTGTGGTTCCTCTGCTTGCCCTGTCTCTCTTTACCAAGCTGTCTCAACTCATCTGGGATACTTACATGTTATAAAACCATTGCTCTCACTGACCCGCACTGAAGACCTCAGGAAATGGACTCTTTTCAGCGGGTTCTCATCAGAAATCAGTGGTAAGAAAGGATGGATTTTGCACATTATTCCTTCCTACGTTTCAGTAGGATTAAGACATAAAATGTTCTGACAAATTCATGTCGTGAACTGTAGATCCCACTTTCTGATAGGCAGTCCCAATCAGCGTAGGATGTCAGAGATCCTCAATGGTGAAACTAAGATTCGAAGTGAGCCGCTCTGCATCCCATTAGCTGCTTTCCCGGAACACATCATGGGAGTAGCTTGAGTGACTAAAAGTATGGGGTGCCCTGGTAAAGCAAACCCAAGTTGAACCCAGCTGCCCCTGGGATCCAGACTTCCCTTCAGGTAGTTGGACTTCACTGTGTGAATTTTACATTACCTGTGAGGGAGAGCCAGTTCTAAGAGATGTGGATGGAAGTCTGCCCAAAACCTCAAAAATAGGGAGTTTTGATGACTTGGATAGGAACACAAAAGCATAATAGGTACTCTAGAATTATCCACATGGTTTTGAACCTAGCTTAATTCAAGCTATATTCACAACCTCCAGGAGTTCGTTATCAGGCAAGGACTCCTGGGGTCCTGCTCCTTAGACACGCATGAAATTTCTTCTAGTTCCAGCAGAGGTGCCTTGTGTCATGGTCACACCTCATCCTGGAGATACGTGTCACACCAAGGTGCTAACCAATCGTCAAGCAGCCAAAAATCCTCTCCACTTGAGGGCAAAATGTTAAGCCAGAATTGCTCTGGTTGAAGACGGCTTTTGACAATATCAGGATCTGTATGTAGGTCTTAAGGACAATGACATCTGTCCTCATAAACTAGCCCAAGAAATATCACAGCAAAATTCATTATCAATTTTATTTCTAACCATACACCAAATGTACAGCACTGAACACAATTTTGTTGCATTGATGTAAGAAATAGTAATTGTTTGGAGAAACAGTATACAAACAAACTACTTCAAATAAAAATGCATACATCATTGCCCATTTTGTTTACAAAAGATCCAATTTACAGTATCAGTCATTAACACAGTCGAAATGGAAACAACTCAGTGCATGTTACAAAACGCAAGTACCAAGGTGGCAAATAAATACAGACACCCTTCATAAAACTATGTGAACACAAATAAATTAACTGAGACCATGTAAATTATAGTAATAAATACATAGGTTCGCAAGAGATCTCTTTAAATAAAATATATAACAAACATGTTAAAATATTTAGCAAAGTAAACTTCTGTCTTTGTAATAAGTGAGCCCATTTGTGTGCTTCTTTGAAGTACTGTGTAGCAGAACGCTCAGAGACATACTTCAATAGGGAAACTTTGTGTCCCATTTTCAGTAGACACCACTCATGGCCGCTGCTTCTTTTGAACTGAGTTTTAAATAAACACCTTTCCCTACCTAAGGACAGACATCTCATTTTCACTAAACTAAGATTCAAGAGTTCAAATGAACCCCAAGTCAAAGATAAGCCCCACCTGATGCATAACAGGAACCACAGATCCGTGGGAGCGGAGCGAGCGACTGGATCACTTTTCATGTATCGGAGCGGGTAACAGTAACAGTGAATTCAATCCTGTGAATGGCATCGCACTAAATCTAAGTATTCATGAGGCTAAAAAAAATAAACGCTTTTATTATAGCACAGAAAATCAAGCTCACACTAAAGTTCATGTGTGCATTTACACAGAGGCACATCTGCACATGAAATGTGTGTGCACATCAAAAAGGCAGTTTAGCTGGTTGTCTATACCTTTTCATTAAAAAAAATAAATATAAAAAAACTTTTGAAACAATGCTTAAACTACTTTACAGTCCCTGAAATAGACATTGCCTTTTCTACAGCAATTACTAAACTCTGATCCAGTTGAGATTGTAGACTCAATTTCATGTGTGGATAAGTGTTTGTGACTCTGTGTGTGTGTGTGTGTGTGTGTGTGTGTGTGTGTGTGTGTGTAGTTCAAGGATTATATCAAATTGCAAGTTGTCTTATTATGGGCAGTGCAGACCAATGTTGCCGATATTCAGATCGGAATAACACTTTTTCCTGTCTTATTATGTTTTCCACTCTTTTCCAGTCAACCTAGTAAGATACAAGCTATTTCAGGGGATATGGTATCTACAAAATTTCCATTTGTATGTGTCTGTATTTGCTAAGTAAAATTCTATACCAATATTGTCACTTGTAATATTGTACTAACATATAGCAGGAGAAGCTTGACTGGTCACATCAAAGCTTATTTCTCATCTTGGGGAAGGGTTGCCAACTAGCCAAGGTGACTGACTTGAAAAAAAAAAAGACATATCTGATTCACTTAAAATCTATGCTTTGAACAGCTCAAATAAATAATTCATATTAATTAAATCCGTGCAGCCACGTGGAATGCTCTGCTGACTATTTTATTTAATTATTGCTATCAAGTTTTGAGCACGCTGTTTGCCAGCATCCTGTGCTTTTATGAACATGGATTTCCCACTAGTGGGCGCCATTTATCTTCATATTCCTTTGCAGCTCACATTATCAAAAACCAATATGGGGGGGGGGGGGGAAGAAGTGCACATTAGAAACCAAAATTGACCGGAGTGCAATCCTGACATCGGGATTTCCTTCACATCTTCCTTTTATGTTGTTTTTTTTTTCTCATTTAAACTCAGAAAGATGTGTGATTTGAGAACAGGATTTCTATTTAAATCCTATTAGAAGACAAATTAATAAACACACCTGTAAAAATATGGTAGACTCCAAAATGCAGTTAAAAGATAAAAAACTCTTTGATTAGTAATAAATAAAATATAAAATGTAACATTTATTTTACATATACTTTACAAAATAAAGAGTGCAATGAAATAAAAGAAAAAGATATGAAAATAAATGAGATCTAATAATCCACTGCATTGCTTTTAATCCAAAGAGTTTATCATAGTTTTCCTTTCCTTTTTATGTCAGCCAGGGAAAAAATTAGTGCAATGTTGCAATTATAAACGCAGGGGGCGGCCTCCAGGCTCCAGGGGTGCAAGGCCTTCTATGGATCTTCTGGAGTTCCCTGCTGTGGTGACCTCTGCTTCCTGCGAGCTGCCCTCCTACACATGGATGCCCTTCACCGCCTGCTTGATGCTTTCCAGTAGAGCTTTGCATTCCGGAGAGTAGTCTCGTTCCAGATTGCTGTACATGTCTGTGAGAGTATTTACATACGCTTCAAAATTCTGCTCATTGATTGGCCCCTGATGGAGACAAAGCACATAGAACGAATCACAGAGGGTCAGCTGCCCCCCAGGAAGATCAGGAGACAGGGAAGAATGTTGCCAACTTATATAATGAGGAAGAGAAGGGTTTACTGTGGCAGTTTGGGATAGGAATCTAAATGTTAGTGTTCGTAGGGTTTATCTGTTCACTCTTCATTCATGGCTTTAATGAAACTTGATTGAATGGCACTGAGGATCAATCTGGACCTGAGGTAGAGGTCTTCAAACAACATGCTTTCTCTGGGAGGAGTCTTGGCCTCAACTGCACTTGCTCAGTACAAAAATGACATCTGTGGAAGGTGTGTACAGGGCTTGTGCCAAGTGGTTCTTTAACAGTTTTAGGTTGGAATGGCAGGGATTAAGCCAGTTGCTCACCAACAGTTGTGATAAAGATTTGCTCATACAACAACTCTGGTCATTTGCCCTCTCTATTTCTTTAGGGAGAAGATCAGTGTTAGAAGGTCCAGACTGACTCATCTTTACCCTGGGTAGTATTTTGGCATATCCTTTGCCCTATATAATGGTTTTATTATTCTATTTATTTGTTTTTATTTTGTGAGACAGCGTCTTATTTTGTTATCTTGGCTGGCATAGAACTCTCTATGTAGACCAGGCTGACCTTAAACTCCCAGAGACCTACCTGCTTCTGCCTCTCAAGTTCTAGGATTAAAGGGGAGTGCCACCATGCTGGGCCACACACACACACACACACACACACACACACACACACACTCACACACACTCAAAAACAATGTATATGGATGTTTTGCATGTATATTTGTGCACTACATATGTACTTTATGCATGTGGCAGCCAGATGAGGGTATCTCATACCCTGGAACTGGAGTTGCAGCCATTTCTGAGCCACTAGTTCAGAGTTCAGAATTGAACCTGGGTCCTTTGGACGATCACCCCGCGTTCTTACTCTCACTCTGGATCCATCATATGTTTTAAAGTAGGTGCCCACTAGCTGTGTGTAAATCACATGCAGAAGAGGCAGGACATGCAGGACAAGAGGGAAAACTCTCCAGCCATATGTGCTCACTCCATGTCCCCACATTTCTGAAAACCCTTGGTAAGTGCCATGTTACATTGTAAGGTCCTTGGAAGGAAGGACTTAAACATGAGCGAACAGCTCAAGTGTACAGACAATGACTATGATCGCTACTGTTTAGAAGATCTGAAGATGAGCTGGCATGCCCAGCAGAGCTGTGATCTGGACTATGTGCACTGTCTAGTTGTGGCTGTTCCCTTTTGGTGTCTACCTCTGCTGGGCATGTGTTTCCTACAGAATCATGGACCGGGGCAGTGACAACGAAGAAAATACTAAGAAGTACATATTTAGATAAGGAGCTAGAAAAACAGGCAAAAGGAAGATGATAACAATCTCCTTAACAGAATCGAAAGTTAAAGGACTGAATTTTTTTTTTGTTTTTGGAATTGAGCAATTTAGTATTTTTGTACAAAACCCAAATATTTTGATTTCATTGCTGCTGCTTTAAGTCCTCTTATATGTAAGCCATCAATTTTGATCTGAGAATATATATTCTGAGGAAATTAGCAACATATTGATCAATAGCCCCTCAACGATGCAGATCTAACTCCAAAGACTGGTTTATATTTATAAAAATGTAGAACAAACTTTTTGTGAATTCTAAATAGTTGCATGCTTAGGCTTTTGAAATAAGGGTGCCTCGATCACACCCATACTTTCTACACTCCATGAACAGAAGTTGAACATTATGGGGAGTTTATTAGGAATGAGATTGTTGTTTTTATGGTTTATGAGTTTGGAGGATAATGCGGAGGACTGTGTAGAGTCTTCTATTCGGAAACATTTTCAGTGAGTAAGCGCTGGTCTCTGGCTTTCATCTAACTTTATAAGATATCTTCCAGCAAAACTTCATCTTTAAAGGGCCCTGGCCTTTTTGAATACTACTGGCCTTTGTTAATCTGAGTATGCGTGTCTACCATGGTCTTCAGGTGGGGAGATCACCGAGCGTGAGAATGCATCCAGGTAGGTGACTGCTGACAGCCACAGGGTAATGACGCTGAGGGAGACGATGGGACAACAGAGCGCTGCTCTTGGTCTTACCATCTGTGGCAGCTGGATGTCAGCGAGGCTGGAGATGAGAGCCTGGCTGAGCCCTGCCAGCTCCTTCAGCAGACTCTCATTGCTCTGCTCTATAAGCTTGTTCTCCTCCTCTATGGTCTTCAAGTTGCTCTCCATAGACGTGATCTAAAACAGAGGCAATGGCATGAGAAGCCATGGAAGGCCTCAAGGGGAAACCTGTGGCTGGGTATAAGGGCCAAGGGGTTTCTCCATCCCAAACTGTAGCACTACCTACTGCTCTGAAGTGTTGGATTCACACATTCATATTTGTACTTTCAACACAGATTTTCCCATGAATTGCAGGTCTAACTTCTCTATGTGGCTGGATAGTAGATATCTCAAAAGCAATATGCCCCAGAGTAAATCTGTCCATTTGCCCCAATACTGCTCCACATGCCTCTTTTTTTTCCCCCCAGTGGGTGACAATCTGAATGTTGCCCAGACTTATGGTTTTTTCTTTCATATTTCAAACTCACTGAGCACTTCTTTAAAAGCACACATGACAAGACCACTATCCACCTGTGCTGTGGCCACCTGGACTCGGCCACTGGTGTGACGGTATCACTTCTCATGGATGACCTTGTGCCATCTTTGCTCCGCATAGTCTCATCTTGGCCCTCCTCAATACCCTAACAGAATGAATCTTTTGGAGGTCATGGTAGGATGTACGTCAGCTGACTGAATGACTCTTAATTCTCAAACCCTTCGGGGGCCTTGTAACCCACTAAAGTAAATGCCAAGATCATCAATATCGACTAGGCTATACTATATGAACAGCTCAGTGTCATTCTTGTATCCTTATGTAACTTGCCCTGCCCAGCTAGCTTACTCCAGACAAATTCCCCATCACTGTTGGCTAACTCCTTTATATTTCAAGTCATTGATAACACATTTCCTTCTTCTTGAGGCTTAGCCATCCTGTTTAATATCAACCCCCTTCTTCCACCAGCAGATTTTACTCTCTCTCTCTCTCTCTCTCTCTCTCTCTCTCTCTCTCTCTCCCTCTCCCTCTCCGGTTTTTCCCATTTGGACTGAGCTCTATGAAGAAGCGGCTTGTCTTCTTTGCTAATGGTTTCAAGAGGAGGTTCATGGATTCCAAATGGCAGCATCAAGCTCTTTCTGTGGACTTCTGTGGCATTCAGAAGACGGGATGAAGAAACTATTTGGGGTGGATTGGACTGCTTAGGTAAGGGCTGCTGAGAAATGAATGCAGCTTGCATCTCAAGAGTGGGAAAGGAGAAGAAATGGGAAAGGCACCAGAAAGGACATTCTGCCCTCTGCTTTGTCTTGTTTCTCCACCTCTAATGTGTTGCAATGCAGTTATTTTTGCTTTTCAGATGCTGCAGATTGAATCCAGAGTCTTTCACATGGGTAGGAAAACAATCTTCCACCAAACTGAGTCCTTAATAACGAAATTTGTGTTAGTGTCTTAAAAGTCCTAGGCCAAATTTTTAATTCCTAGTAGTCTAGGTTTAGACACTCTTGGAGTTTTTCTTTGTTTTGTATTTATAAAGTGCCTGTACAAGAATCTGTTTTTAGTATACTAAGCAAATATTCTTGAAAAATTACATTTAAAGAGTGTGATGTCTTATGCACATTTTTAATAAAACGAAGGACCTTCAACCTATGTAACACAATTCTCTACAAAGCAACACATGCTCTCCAAAAGTATATATGGTCATCTGCTTTATTTGCACACAAAGTAGGTCTTCCCAGCCAGCTAGGTAAAAGCAGCAGTAACTCCTTCCACTCCTGCCCAGTCAGGAGACACAGGCACAAACCACTCACGAGAGACACATTTCTCTAGGGTATCAACATAGTTTTTGACGCAGGATTTGGTAAGCTCAGCGTTTTGAATCCATTAGAGGGTATGATTATTTTAGAAACAACTAATTAATGTTTTTGAACCTGGGTCTGAAGTTTCATCATATCTGCTTCAATTTTAAGGTTGGATTCATTCAGTTCCTTTATTTCTTCATCCAAATGCCTAATTTCTTCATCACCATCAATACCTGTGAAGAGTTAACAGTTCACACTGAATACAGGAGACAAGGCCCAGAGACAGGTTACTTTATGTTTAAATATGAGACTATTTTAGTGCTTTTACCCAAACTATATCTATGCAAGAGTCTTAAAAAAAGGAAACAGTTTGGGAGTTGAATGCTTTCTAAGAAAATGAGGTACAAAAGCACCAGCTTTTTGGTGGCTCCACTGTGTTTCAGAAGACCTGGTGAGCCCTCATTTACAGTCCCTACAGGCATGAACCATTGTCGTCTTTTCATATATGAAATTGCCAGGCTTCTAAAATTAAAACAACTTGACAGAAATGGAATGAACTAACAGTGTTCAAATCCATGCAAACTCTTGTATAGCTGCTGCAAGGACAGTGAGGTCCCAGGGCATGCCCAGCAATTACATATCTGCTTGCTGAGGGGACCCCGAAGAGGCACACCTCGAAGCAGAGCTGGGCTACCAGCACATGGTAACAGATGTCTCTGTGTGCACTTGGGAAGGAGCACATGTGGTTCAGGAAGAAGAACACAGCCTTGACTGTTGTTCTTGCATATGAACACTCTCTGAACTTTAGGCTTGAATTCCTATAAAAATAGGCAAAGTATCTATGGGTGAGCATGAATGCAATAAAGTGTAGACTGTGGGACAGTGGCCAGGTGTTAGTTTCCATGATTATATTGTAGAGTGAGTGTGAATCCATTTACTATTTGGAAGTCGGGGAAAGTGGTTAAGAATGCCATAGTCTGGACCGAAGTTAATCTCAACAATCTGGAGAAACGGGTCTACACTACTACTGACAACAGAGAGGAGTATGCCAGGATGAAGAAAGACAGATTCAGAGGAGATGCCAGAAGACAGGCAGCAGGGCATGTAGAAAATGAGGTAACAAGACACAAGTCATGTGGCAGAGGGTAGATAAAAAAATATAGGTTAATTTAAATGTAAAAGTTAAATAGTAACAAGCCTGAGCTATTGGCCGAGCATTTACAGTTAATAAGTCTCTGTGTAGGTTATTTGGGAACAGATGGGAGGGAAAGAAAAGTATGCCTACAATTGTGTTTCCTGAAATTTGGTAGGGAACATACACTGGAAACACATATGCATGCACACATGTGTGCACATAAGCCCACAGGCATGCACATGCACACACATGTATGTGCATGTACACATTTCCTAGGAGAAAAACTAACACTGAAAACACAAGGATAAAATTATTGTGCCTCTCAATTTATCTGTGTGTCATTTCATGTCTTTCCTTGTAGGAAAGCCTTATTAAATAATAGAGAAGACAGAAGACAAGGAAAACGTTTCTGAGAGGTTACAGTTGCAGCTTAACCTTGAGGAAACCCCTTTGTTCTTGCACACAAAGTATGCTTGGGAAGCCTAGACCTTGGTGGAGATGGTGACTTACCCCCGGTTGCTTTGAGCTTGATGGTCATTAGTCCCTCAGACACCTTGACCTTTTTGATAGCTTGTGCATTGAGAGGGCATCCAGATAAACTGTGAGAAGAGAATTTGTATCCATATGTGAAATGTATGTCATTTCTCATAAAATTAAAACTTTTTTGCTACCAACTACTGATATGTTTGCCTTCTTAGTAGTTACATCATAATCTGTAGTTTTGTCATAGAAATTAACTAATAAATATATATTAAATAAAATCCGAGGGTTCTAAAGTATTGATAAGTGTTTGCATTTCCTTTTCTTAAATCAGAAATACAGGTTGCCACTGCCGACACAGCTAGTCCCATTCACTTGGCAGAGCACTGGTCTTCCGCACTCATGAATGTGCATTCGATGGTACAGACTTCCTTTTCTGCAGCTACCAAACTGCCCACACAGGCCATGAACAAGGACTGTTATCACCCATCTGGAATCCATAAAGAACAAGGCAGAGTTTAGCTCTTCCTGCTTTCATACAAAGCACAGGCTGATCTCCAGGGTGACTCCACAATAGTCAACAAATCCCGCTCGCTAGAGAAAATTCAACCGGCTGATGGAAAGCTCCTATTTTGTTTCCCCTGTAACTGTTAAAACATTATTTTCATTTAAAATATTTCTCCCCTGAAATGGGAATAAAAGCATCTGCTGCAGGTGCAGCCGGGGCAAGGAGATCTGTTATCCAAGCTGGCGCTCATGACCCTGTTCATTGAATTGCTGCTCTCTTCAGAAGGCTTCCTTCCTTTAATGTCACTTGCTTTATTTAAATAGCACCATGTGATAATGATAACACCTAACAAAACCTGTTTTCCATCGTTTATGATCAGGTAATTTTCTTGTTCTAAGCAGTTATTAATTCTTTCAAGGTTTTGTTCTATCTTTGTAGAAACCAGTTTCAGAATTAAATAAAAACGAGAATAATCAACCATTTAAAGTATTTCTCCCCCACAGAAATGTGGTTTCAATTGATCTATAAAACAATCATTTCAACCTGAAGTTCCTGATGCTATGCCAAGTGGAAGAAAAGTTTTCTGGAGTGGGGTCTTCAATAAATATGAAGTATCACAGGATTTAAGAATAAGGAACTTATTCTATATTAATATTCTATAAAGTGCAGGAACTAACATAAAACTTTAAGGGTAATTTGTAATAGGCTACATTACGAAAAGGCTATGCGGTTTGTTAATCTTTGGTAAGTTATAAGTTATTTATGCAGGAAAAGAAAATGAGAGGCAACCAACTTTAGCTCCAAACCGCTTTGGAGACTCTTTCTGATGATCATGGCAGCTTAGGGCACATTTGGTTTGTGACTTTGGTTCCTAAATAGGAAATGATGACCAAAACAGAATTAAACAATGTATGCCCTGGTGGATATGAGCTTGCACTGACAGCCATACAAAGCACACCATGTGGAAAACACTTTCTCCATAGCAGGTTTCACCGACAACTTCCAAACAAGTAGTTCCTGGAGAGATAATTTTCTGGTGTCAATGTCATGGTTTTCCCCTGACCTCCACACAGAAAATGCAAGTTTTTCCATGTATCAGTTTTACTGGCACCATGAAAGCAATCAATTCCTGTCAGGATCCGTTTCTGGTATCATTGATCTATATCTTTAGAACTGAAAACGTGCCCAAATTTCCCAACTTTGCTCAATTTGTATACTGAACACAAAAGAATCAATGTTTCCCTAAAACTGCACAGGAATTAGCCTGCAAGACTAGAAGGAGTTGGAACACTCACTGACTGCAGAAATATATCAGGAACTTTCTAACTTTTTTGCTTCGGGAGCAAAGTGAGCCAGAGAGCTGGACTAAGAGCATCCCTGTGCAACAGAGGCTTCCCTTGAGAGCCAGGGGCTCAGGGATGAAGAATACCACTGCAAAGCTCCAGGTCCTTGCACACCACCAGCACTCATATATGCTGCTTGCTTTCAGATTGCCGTGAGCAAATCACATCTCCCTGAAAGTAAAGCAATGCTACCCTGGCCTGAAACTGGGTGACAACGGGAAAGGCAGGGATGACAGAAACAAGTAAAAGTTCACAACTACACGACACAATAGAGTGGATAGCACCACTTGGAATTGGAGTGATGCACGAAAAGACTGAGACACTTAAAAATACTAACACAAGTGATATTTTAGAATACAAGAAACAAATGGAGTTTCTAGGGCCCTTGAAATCTGTATAGTGAATTTTCAGAAACAGAGAAAATGCATTTCCATTCTTCAGACTAGCAAAAACTTAGCAAGACTCTGTGTTCTATACCTAAATGTTATAAATAATTGCATTTTGAGGGTTTTCACCTTCCCCTAAGTAACTCACATCACAAACAATCACATCAACAAAAAGACACAAAGCATGCATTACCTTCTGTGGGTGACGAAGACGTTGTTGACATGCCCCAGCCCGTTGCATCCTGGCAAAGGACAGTGGGGAAGTTCTTGCTTGTTCAGCTTCCAGGAGAGAGGGGACCCATTGAGAGGATTCTCCTTCTGTCTCTTGGCAGCCAGAGGGCAGCCAGAAGCCGTGCGATGTGACGTGTATTTACCCGATATGTGACCTTGACCATCACACCCTATTACAGGACACCTAGAGAAGCACAGTGGAGCCACTGTCAGCTTTGACAAAGGAACGGACACCTCCATCCTCTACAGAAACAACCGACAGCAGATGTTTCAGAGGATACCATCATATGCCAGCTAATTTTATATCAACTTGACACACACTAGAGTCATTAGAGAGGAGGGAATCTCAACTGAGAAAACGCCTCCGTGAGATCAGGCTGCAGGGCATTTTCTTAATTAGTGATTGACATGGGAGTGCCCAGCTCATCGCAGGCAGGCTCACCCCTGGACTGGCGGTGCAGGGGACTGTAGGAAGGTAGGCTGAGCAAGCCCGCAAACATCTCTCTACCATGCTCTCTGCATTAGCTCCTGCCTCCATGTTCCTGCCCTTTTGAGTTCCTGTCCTGGCTTCCTTCAACGATGAACAGTAGTATGGAAGTGTAAGTCAGCTGGATCTTGGTCTTGGCATTTCAGCACAGCAACAGAAGCCTTAAGACACACAACAGCATTGTATATCTTAAGACACCAAGCAGTAAAACAGCATTGTGTTAGCAGTGACAGGGGGCAGGCTTCCATCTGAGAAATTTTTGTGCATCGCCTCTTTGTTTACTGCCAACTCTTAGGGTAGAGACTACTGTCCCATTTTTCAGGCAGGGAAAAATGAGGTTTGTGTAAGAGCTTAGATGACTAGGCAGCAAGAGATGGAGTTAAATTCATACCCACTGTTGGTTTTTCTTTTCTTTAATAAATTGAAAATAGATTTTAAATAAAATATGTTTTGACTGATTATGGTTTTTCTTTCCCCAACTCCTCTCAGATCCTCCCAACTATTCCACCACATAAATCCACACCCTTTCTTTCTCTCTGCCATTAGGATACAAACAAGCATCTAAAAATAAAAATAGATAAAATCAAAATTAACAAACCAGAATTGGATAAACAAATAAAAGAGACAAAGAAAAGGCTCAAGAAACACATATAGACACAGACACACACACATTCACGCACAGAAAACCCATAAAAGCCTAACTTCCACAGTGTCGCTTTCCTTTAAAAGAGATGGGCAAGGAAAAAAGCTCCCTCCCTTCTTCATTGCCAAAGAAGTGTAGAAATGAAGTTATGAAGGAGAAAACATTCTTGAACAACTTTAGCCAGATATCCTGGGTCTTAATGACTCATCCCCTTCAGGATTCGGCGGAAACTCAGAGGCATCCCAAAGCTCCTCCCAGTTAGCCGACAAGATATAGCCCAGCCCAGTTCTTTATCAGCTGTACTTACTTAAGTTCAGATTCTTCCTTTTCTTCCTTGGTAGGGGTCATTTTGATGCCACCTTTCCTTGCACGAGGGCAACCAGACAAGCTAAAATGAATAACCAATAACCGTGCAAGGCACTATGATTATGAATTTATGATGGGGTATCATTGCCAGTACACTAATTTGCATTTGACAAATGTGGTTGGTCTTACCTTCTATGGGAAGCATAGTTTCCGGTCACATGCCCAGAACCGTCACAACCTGGCGTCGGACATCTAGAAAACACAGGAATACAGTAAGCTGCCTGGTTAGGGGAGAGAGGCATCATGACTCATCTTGGGACTCTTTCAGTTTAAGTGATTGTCTTTCAATTAAGAACCCATGCTGAAAACAAAACATGAAAAACTGCTGAGTAATGTTTGGTTGCCAATATATTATTATTTATTATACATTCATTTTTTTGAGACACAGTATCAGTATGTAGTCTGGAACTCTATGTAGAACACACTGGCCTTGAACTTACAGAAATTTGCCTGTCTCTGCTTCCTGAGTGTCACCATGATAGACACATTTTCTTAAATGCTATCTCAGTGAGCATTCATAGGATGCTTTTATACAAAGGAATGTTGTTCCTGAGCCACAAAGTATGGAGTAACATAGTAACTCAAATAAAATAGCAAACACTCAGAGTAACAGGCATTGAGAATTTAATCACCTAAATACAGAAACATATCTTCTGCTGTTAGACACATGTTTCTTACCCTTTTCTAGCATCTTTATAAAGTTATGTTTAATTAGGTATCTATGTGTGTCTTTGTGTGGGTTTGTACAGGTAAATGCAGTGCTGCTACAGAGGCCAGAAAAGGGTTAGAGCCCTGGAACTGGAGTTCCATGTGCGGGTGACCTTCCTGACATAGGTACTGGGAAATAAAATTGGGTCCTCTGCAAGAGCAGTACAAACTCTTAATTGCTGAATCATCTCTGCAGCCCTTTATTAACATTTTTGTTAAATATTGCTTTAGTAGCTTATATAGTTTATTATATATGTGATATATATACACATACATATACATATATATATCTTGCTATATGTTATCTATTAAGTAAAGAAATGCCTTTTTTAGGATTTTTCCTTAAATATGTAAACAAGAAGTTAGTGAAATATATGTTTTCTTATATGGGTAAATAGATAAATTATTTATTATGTGGCTATATGAAACATTTAATTACTGGACATTGCAATGGGCCCTCTTGACTCACATGTTTCCAGTGTCTTTCTGTTTTTTTCAAATGAAATTTAGAGGATGTGAAGTGATTGTTATAATTGGGATGTGGCAGTGGAGACACTTAGACCGGGAAGGATATTAGAGTGTACCTTACATTTCAGCCCATTGACTACTAATCCCAAAACCACCCTACAGTTCAGCTTGCAAAAGTAGTTATCAATATTCAAGAGTCTACCCTGATACAATAAATTGTCCTTTAGCACTTTGAAAAGGAGAAACATAGTTGCATATTTCCAGCTTCTCATTATTTTTGGTATAAAATATTTTATGTTGCTTATTATGAAGACTGTAAGACATATTTGAATATAAAGATATAGGATATTTAATATGAATATTTTTATATAATACATCAAATGACAAATTTGGAATAAAAGAAGAGTAGGAAACATAAAATCCACAGCTAAGTATTAATATCTATGTAACCTAGAGACCATAAACAGAGTAGAAATGAGCCAGGACAATGTTTAGCAAAAGGGAAAAGCGGTTAGGAGATTTTAAATTCTTATGCTTTCTTAAAATTGATGCTGAAAATGTTTCGTTACATCGTCACTGGTTTAGCAAATAAATTCTGAAATTAAGAGCAAAAGGATTGTGTTTTCATGCTATTTGTTACAAATCAGTGTAAAACACAAGTATGACTTCCATTCCCCTAGTCCCTCCCAAGTCAACCCAGGCAAAGTCTAAGGCTGAGCTTCAGCCCTTTCAAATTTTGACAAGTTTTTTTGTTTGTTTGTTTGTTTGCTATTACTCAGCCAGGTACCATTTTATGTGCCCTTGTCAAGGAAATATGGACACTGAATAACAAGGGCTCTATCAGGGTGAAGAAGGGCACAGAGGACATGCCTCCCAACACTTACTTAAGCTCCTGAGAGTTGGCAGCCATGAGGGACTTAAGAGTCTTATCTGCTAGAGGACATCCGGACACACTATAGAGGGGAGAGGAAGAAAAGAGGTATAGTGTTGACATGGGTGAATTGACTCACGGGTGTCCTGGGTTTGTGAGAGACATCCAGTTCTGGGTGGCGAGGAACTGAAAAAGAATTAACTGGAACTGGGTCTGGTTTTACTGTTAATGAACATGGACTCATGGGTATTTCAGTTATTTGTTGTAATCAGCAACGACCAGCAATCCACTCTCACTGCGGCACCAGTGAGTTACAAGAGCTTCAGCTTTAAGCCACTGGCTAAGGGACAGCAAATGCCATTAGCAAGAAACAAAAGAGAGAGCCTCTCACCCTGCTCAGCCACACCAGCACCTTTATTTATTTATTCAGGATCAGAGATGCCACTTCCACTAGTGAGAGGCCCCTGTGCTTTCTTTGTTTAATGCTAGCTGGGGCAAGAGCCTGCTGTGAGCCCCAAGATGGTTAGTAACGAGGACCAGATTACTCTTTTGAACAAGAGTCATGACTTCTGTGTACCATATCTAAATCTCTGACGAATAAAATAATCCCCTAATCCAACTCCCCCACTCTCCCTTTCCTAATCCAGAGAGCTGCTTGCTGCTCTAATAGGCGACATGAAACTGACCAGGATGATGAAAACCTGAGCACATACAAGGACATTTGGTACCTGCGGTGAGATGCATAGTTGCCTGTGACATGGCCACTTCCGTCACATCCTGGTGTTGGGCAGCTGTGTCAGCAGAAAAACACATCATGAGTGTCAAGGGCATTTCGTAGACTACTGTTCTTCCAGAGAGATTGCAAAGCATTTTCTCCTTCTAAGACTGCACTGGTTAGGGGTGCAGAAGCTAGAGCACTAAGTACTTAGAGGTTTAAAAAGAGGATTCAGAGGTAGAAGAAAAGTAAGCATGTCATTCATGTCCAGACACATCCTTAGTTTTTTTCTCTTTTCAATGTTATGTCCAAGTTTCCAACTCAAATGTTGTGGGAAGTGATGCTAACATGCTGCCTTGTGGTTTGTGAGTCAACAACCCATGCTGTTCTGTTCTTTGAAAAGATAAATTTATCTCTCCATAATGCAGAAATATGAGAATAGGAATCCCAGCAGCAGCTGTATGATACATTATAGAAAGGGATTTCTGTAGGCTTTTAAGCAACTCTGACAGTTTACAAACTACAAAGAAGAAAACCTTTGACTGAAATAATTGACATTCTAGGTGGGAAATTTATGGATGACAGAGAAGTAGGCAAGATATTTCGTTACTAAAACTCTATAGCAGCTTCACTTGGTCTATAGCAATGCAGCGCTCCCAAATCCATGGCTAGCCCACAAACAGATTCCAGGATATCTACCAAAGCGCCTACTGGGATCTGTGTCTTTTCAAGTTTCTCAGAAACTTCTGTCTTAGGCTTCTTACATATATTTAAAAAACATCCCAACAACTTTGTGACCCCTAAGAGGTACCTTTCCAATTAGAGAGTCTTCGTTTTTTTTAATTACTTCAGTTCTTGGATGCTGTGCTCATTTGGAGAGCACAAACGGAGCCATCCTGAAGTGCTATCTGTGGTTGTAATAAGGATCTGAGGGAAAGGCACTGAGTCTTTGCTGACATCCTGCCCAAAGCAAAGTCCTCTCTCTCCGTGTAAATGAAATTCAGAATGAGGTACTCCTTTAAGTACTTATCATATGTTTTAGGAAATGAAAAAAAAACTATGAATATTAGGAATCTCAAAGGGATGCTTGCTTTTCAGGGACTGATCTAAATTGGGGCCATTTAATTCTGTTCCTGTTACTGGAAGGGATATCAGAAAATATAGACAATAAAATATATGTACAAAACTCTTTTTAAAAAAGTAATGATGATTACATTCTGCGATACTTTTTGGTAACACTTATCCATTGATACAGAATGTGTCTGAACACTGTTTAACTATGGAATGAAGGGCTTTCAAATGCTTAAGAATTTTCACTCCCAAATAGTATTCCAAAAGCACTGTGCTTATTTTCTTTTCTATTTTCAACTATGTTCATTAACATTTTCAAAAGAGGCAAAGAAATTATACTAATTTCAAGTTAATTATCTATGGAATATATAGTATGAACTATAAATTTGACTTGATGAAATGGTAAAGCTTTGTGGTATAAAAAGGTCAAAAGAATTCATTGCAATATTATTCCTGATTGGGGAACGATATTCCTAATTGAGTTTCTGATAGACCTCTGATTGATGGCATAAATTCAAATCTATAGTGACAAATATTCTTCAATATTGCATACTACCAGTTGGGTGATGAAATCTAGGAGGGTTTTTAGATAAAAACAAAATTAAAGGAAGGAAACTGGTTAATTTTCTTGGCCATTGATGTTCAAATCTATTCAAGCCAGAGGACAGTTGATAAAATTTCAAAGTTTTGGGTAAGTTGTTACTGTATAATTATCATTTAAAAAAGAAACTGATATAATAAAGATAAGACAAAAAATCAGCACACTAATACAGACACAAATAAATCAGTGAGTCCCATCCAAAACACAATGATGTAAGCTGTTTCCTGCATTATATGCTTCTTCTGTAAAGCCCTGGTTCACCACAGACCCAAAGGCAACAGAACAAAGTGGCTATGGATAAAGGCCTTCAAATCCATAAGCCATAACAAACCTTTACCTTCTTATAAATTGATGAGAGAAAGTTGAGTAACAAAGGGGTAAAATATGATTGTTCGATTTTATGTATACTTTGTATTAATGGCTGAATCAGAATAATTGCTCATTCAACTCTTCTGATTTGGGAAAAACTTAAGAGGAATGGAAACCCTTTCTTCCCAAGCCATAATTTTCAGAGTAAATACAAGCTTAGCTGCTTCCCCGAAGTCAGGATTTAGACACCATGAGTTGAGATATCTCTAGTTGAGTATCAGTGACCAAAGAGTATGCATCACTATCTTGTACGTAAACAACAGAGGTTCCCACCTCTTGTACTTTTGGAAGCTGCCTGAGAGCAGTGCAGAACACTGTTCCTGCTCACTAGTTAAGATGCCCTGAAGTAGTTAGAACGTTCATTGTAGAAACCTGAGTGTTATCACTCCCAATTGTAAATGTGTCTCTCCTAATTGCCAAATCTTTTCCTGCAGGTAGCCGAGCCCTACTCACGTAATTAGTTCTTTCTTGAGATCTCTTGAATGGAGCTTGGGCTTTGGGCTTGGAATAGAGGTCTCTCCAGCAAACTTCTTTTCCTCTAAATTTTCTAGGGAGTTCACGGGGTCCTTCTGGAAAACAAAACAAAACAAAACAACAAAAAAAACTAAAACCAAAAGTGGTGAGTTGAGGGAGAAAGGTAGAAGATGCTAGGGAGCCATGAAAGACAACTGCATCGGATTATTGGTGTCAGCTGGGTGGCTTGAAGACTTACTTGCCTTGAGTCCCACAAAGGATACATATGAAAATACAAAAAGATACTATGTAAAAGGACATTTCCTGATTACTAGAGGGATTGTATCTGAGAAGGAACACCTTTTAAAAATTCACATCTTTGTTCATACGGAGACATTTCTTCAACTATATGGTTGTTAATATACTGGCACATTTCAAATATTTTTATTAAATAAACACGTCCTAATGAACCCATGAATCATTTTTACATATCCAGCTGTCACAGCAGCAGCAGCAGAACAGAAGGAAGATTGTACCAGAGTAAGAGCACTGGTAGAACTATCTCAATATGATGCTATTTTATACCAAATTAACAGACTCCAGAATAGCACCATACTATCCTTCATATGCTTTGTGTTTCTAAGTATTTTATGTTACTGATTAAAAAAATCTTATACCAATATGCACTGGAAGGGAAACATGAACATGTACAAACTGCAGAGAAGGGTTTTCTCAATGACCCCTCCCACACACACCAGATTCCTGATAAGGGAGCTTTACACCTGCCCATTGTGCCATTCAACTGGATGTGGATTTGGCTTAGGTGCAGCTCCATTCTAGTCTAGAATTGCCTTGGCCTTTTGGAAGCCGAGGTGAAGGCTGAATAAGTGCAATACTGTTTCAGTGTGCAAGGGCCTGTTTTCCTACTGAGGTATCTATTTTTCACCAAGTAAATGATGTAAAATAATCATTTTATTGTTTTATTTATCATGGAGTTGAGAACAAAGATTCTCTCTGAAGGCATGTCCATTTACAGATAAGCATGGGAGTGCTTTTGGTTAAAATCTGTGTATGATGGAATGTGGGATTATGGAGGAATTTTAAAGGAAATGATCAATATTATTAAAGTTCAAATTAATATATGCCTAAGATGCATATGAAACAGTGTTGACTGGAAACATGCTATTTAATTGGCATGATAATGTGTTGAAAAGGGTTTTAACACCATGGTTTTATTGGTGAAGACCTTTTAAACATTTCAGGACTTTTTAAACTATAGACTCTTGTGCTTTTGAATTTTTTTGTAAATGGGTTGCATTTTCTGCTTTTACTTTGCCTTCACATTCTACTCTGCAAATCTGCAGGGAATGTATCATATGTGTCCATAGCTAAAATAATTCTCAGGATTAGTTCTGTTACAGAAACATACGATACTGGATGAAATATTAAGTAGCACCCAATGTAGAATTCAATAACATTTTTGAGACTGTTATTCAAAACTTAAAAATGTATAGTTTCTAAAATAGTAATTTTATTCTGTGCACGATGCCCAAAAAAGACATGTATGTGTGCATTTACAGAGTACACGTGTGCAATCAGATTCTTCAGTGTACAGATGGAAGGTTACATTGATTTCAGTAAAGACCAGAACATAATGGTAACATGAATAACAGATAATAGCATCTGGCACTTTTAAAATTTTAAGCCCTGAAATCTTTGGATAACTGACAGTTGAATGAAGCTGACAGCCCTAGTTATTTCTCAGTACTTTCCTTTTGAAATATTTTGAATTTTTTCCAGATTCAGGATATTTTTTAGAGGGCATCTGGACAGGCTATTTCGCTGAGAGAGATAGACAATATTTTCTGAAAATTACCACCAAAATTAAGCAACTGTTGTGCATATGAACTAAATAACAATGAATTAGAAATAATCACTCAATTTCCAGTGGTGTGAAGTGCTGTGATGTAGGGGCAAATGGGAAGAAATGCTTTCAGGTCTTCAAACACTCCTGATGAACTGCTGGGGTAGACTCAGTGTCCCTAAGCAACACAAGGAAAGGGACCTTGTTCCTTAGTCACATCATGAAGATGTGCCAGGGCATCAGCCCTTGGTCCTCATCCTCGGCCCACCCGAGGCAATGACAGCTTCCACACACTGGGTCTCTTCCCTCTTCCTCTCCATGTCCTCCCCCTTCCCATTTCATTTTCCCTTTTGAAACTTTTCCTATTATTCCCTAGCAATCTCTTTTGTCATTTTTTTCTTTTTTATACATTTCTTCCACTTTACTTTTCCTTTGTCTTTGGTAATCACAAGTTATTCACCAACAACTATACCTTCCTGCTTATGCTTTTTCTTTCCTGAAAATATTACCAAAACTGTTTCACAGGACTGTTGGGATAATAAGACATGGTATAGAAAGAGTTATTTACTTATATATATTTTTTTACTGCATGTGGTGTTTCTCTAATGTCTTCTAAACAAGGATTCTGAATAGACATTATTAATTTAAGTTACGTTTCAGAAACGATATCTCTCGAGCCTCATACTTGTTTATCCTCAAGATTCAGAATAGGATGTGAAAAATACTCTGTTCATAGACTACCTTGGCACAGATGAGGGAGCAAGAACAAAGGCAGGTCATTGTACCAGGGAGCTCCAAAGACTGAGTATCACTTTTATGTGAGTCTCCATCAACTATGAACAGCTATGAAAGAAGTGATTAACTCACCCAAGGTAAGCACTGTGAGTCCACAAACTCTTAGCATCCCCCAGTCTTCCTGGACCATGTCAGAGGTATGAATTCCAACATAGCTTCTAAATTCCATTTCGGAATACTTCAGTTGAACACTGTAGAGTAAGACTGTCCTGTCGGATCTTACTTCAGGAGAAGACCCTCCTTCTTCCCCTCCCCCCTCTGTGTGTGTGTGTGTGTGTGTGTGTGTGTGTATATATATACACACACACAGAAAAATAAAATAAAATAAAACAAAACAAACATATGTTGAAGAAGGGGAAACATAAAACATTTGAATCTATACAACTACCAAAATGAACTCAACTTTTTTAAAAAATTTTATAAAAAATATTGGAAGTAAAGGTAAAATGTTGTTAGGAGACTTATTTTCTGACACACTGGACTCTAGGAAGGACAGACAAGAGGTCAGTGGGAGAAGTGACAGAAGACACACAAGTGTAGTGACAGCCAGACAACCCTGGATCTCCTATATGAGAGGACAACATACCCAAGGACTCATTGCTGCATTTCTGCGCAGACTCACACACTCCTGACTGACACTGGGCACCAAGCTTCTAGGAAGGTTTCTGGTACATAAACTGACGATGGTTCAGTCAACGCAGTCACGTGGTCAGGAACAGGATGGGTAAAAGCCTCTCATCACATGGAGTTGAGCTATCAGTACATGCCAGGATTCTTACTTATACAAGAATAAGAGCTACACTGTAAAGCGCTATTTCTCTTGAAACAGAATGAACTTCTATTTAGCACGCATCATCTCCCAGAACCCTGCCTGCTGCCTTCTCAGCTCCACTAGGAGGTGGAGCATGGTGCAATTTTGGTTCTTCCGTGTGCACACAGGATGGCAATGGGAGAAGTTTATAGTCATGACTGCAGACCAATAAACTGACTGTGACTCTAGAGGTATTTGGAACATCTCAGATGTTTTTGAGTTAGGGATATTTAACCAATGAAATCTATGCAAGATCTGAAAAACTCCAGTTAGTTAGATTAGAGTCAGTCTAACTGAATGCTGTTGCGTTCGAGACCATTCATCCTCCAGGTGGTGATGAGGATTGACATGGATGATGCTGGTACAAGGATGTCTTTGATCAGCACAGTGGGTACCTGCTCATGTTACTTTTCATTTGCTTCTTAAGAAAGACTCTCCATATCTATCACCATGCATAAAACTTAAGTCTAAATTGATCTAAGACCTCAAAATAAAGCCAGCCACACTGAACCTTATAGAATAGAAAGTGGGAAATACACTTGAACGCATTGTCACAGGAGACCACTTCCTAAATACAACCCCATTAGCACAGATACTGAGAGAAACAGTTAATAAATGGGGCCTCCTGAAACTGAAAAGGTTCTGTAAAGCAAAGGACATGGTCAACGACAAAACAACAGCCTACAGAATGGGAAAAGACCTTCACTAATCCCACATCAGACAGAGGTCTGATCTCCAAAATA